AGTCGGACGCTTAACCGACTGCGCCACCCAGGCGCCCCGACTGTATGTTTTCAATAAGGCTTCTTCTCAACAGTTTTGGGGAGTCAAGTTATATGTAGATTTTCCACTTTGCAGACAGGTTGGTACTCTTAACCCCCTCATTGTTCAAGGGTCAACTGTATTTACATACTTTAAAAGCTGCTGCCTGAGGGCCCAGCTTCCAATCAGCTTTATCTAGGTGTTGAGAGAGATCCTCCCCTTTGGAACACTACAAGTCTGGGCAAACCCTGAACCACTGGGAGTTATTAAGGACAAAGAAGCCTGCCTACACAATCACATCAGGTTTGGGAGACAACAAAGAACAAGGGCACGGTAGAACAACAAAGTTCATCTCCTACATTAGACCTTGCCTTTAAGACTGGAAGAGGTGGCTGTTTTACCTAATACACAGAAACCAAGGAAGAAAAAAAGAAGAGAGGAATAATACATTCCAAACAAAAGAACATAAGACCTCAGAAAGACCATAATGAAATGGAGATAAGCGATTTACCTAACAGTTCAAAATAACACTCATAAATATGTTCACTTTGAGCTCAAAAGAGGAATGCATGAACAAAGTGAAAATTTCAACAAAGAGTTGTACAATATAAAAGTAACACATGATGGGGCGCCTGGGTGGCTCAGTCGGTTAAGCATCCGACTAGGCAGCGAGTGGGGGAGGGGCAGAGAGGAGAGAGGAAGACACAGAATCTGAAACGTTCCAAGCTCTGAGCTGTCAACACAGAGTTTCAGGCCAGTGGGGTTCGAACCTGAACTGTGAGATCATGACCGAATGGTCGGATGCTTAACCGAATTGAGCCACCCAGGCGCCCCATCATGTGTTACTTTATGTTACAACTCTTTATTGTTGAAATTTATAATTTTCACTTTGTTCACATGCATTCCTCTTTTGAGCTCAAAGTGAACATATTTATGAGTGTTATTTTGAACTGTTAAAATCGCTTATCTCATTTCATTATGGTCTTTCTGAGGTCTTATGTTCTTTTGTTTGGAATGTATTATTCCTCTCTTCTTTTTTTTTTCTTCCTTGGTTTCTGTGTATTAGGTAAAACAGCCACCTCTTCCAGTTTAAAGGCAAGGTCTAATGTAGGTGGAGATGAACTTTGTTGTTCACCGTGCCCTTGTTCTTTGTTCTCCCAAACCTGATGTGATTGTGTAGGCAGGCTTCTTTGTCCTTAATAACTCCCAGTGGTTCAGGGTTTGCCCAGACTTGTAGTGTTCCAAAGGGGAGGATCTCTCAACACCTAGATAAAGCTGATTGGAAGCTGGGGCCCTCAGGCAGCAGCTTTTAAAGTATGTAAATACAGTTGACCCTTGAACAATGAGGGGCAGTACCAAGAAGTACCCACTGCAAAGTGGAAAATCTACATATAACTTGACTCCCAAACTGTTGAGAAGAAGCCTTATTGAAAACATGTCGGGAAGCCTGGGTGGCGGTCGTTGCATCGACTTCAGCCAGGTCACGATCTCATGTCCGTGAGTTTGAGCCCCGTGTCAGGCTCTGGGCTGATGGCTCAGAGCCTGGAGCCTCTCAGATTCTGTGTCTCCCTCTCTGCCCTCCCTGTTCATATATTGTCCCTCCCCAAAATAAACGTTGAAAAAAATTAAAAAAAAATATACAGTCAATTAACATGTATATTTTTGTGTGTTTTTATGTATTATACACTGTATTCCTACAATAAAGCTAAAGAAAAAAAATCTTATTTAAGAAATTAGAAAATACATTTACAGTACTGTATCGGGGAAAAAAAAGTCTATACGTGGACCTGCACATTGAAACCTCAGGCATATCAATCAATACAAGACCGGGGAAAGAGTATAAACTGTGGCTGTTCTCTGTTCCCTCTACACTGCTCGCCCGGTGATAGCCAGTCATAACTGTTGGCTTACCATCCCATTGAACCCATAAGCACAAGCCCTGCTGGCTACCAGAGCCAGGCTGTTGGAGTACTGTGTCCTTGGCTTGGTTGACAGCCAAAATACAGGTGTCATACATATACATGGGGTGCTTTCATCAGAGACACTGGTGACCTGGAGCATGGCAGAGGAGGGTAGTGCATGCTAACATGGTGCATGGCCTCCCAAACTGGCCTCCCAAGTCTGTGCAGAGGAGAGACCAGGGCCACGTTTTGGAGATCAACATCGGCTTTCATGGAAAGACTGGGCTTTTCAGTGTGCTACCTCTATACTGTACCATGGTGTGATAGCAGGTCAGAACGGTTTCTTTTGTTGGCGGTCCTGTGAGACCTGGAAACCTAAGCCCCTGGCCACCAGAGCCAAGTTATCAAGGATGTATCCCTTGGGCAGTCAGTGCAAAAAGCCACTGTATCAGTTGGATGCATAAGTTCTTGGAGATAACTGCTGACCTGGAGCAAGGCAGAGAACATGAAGATGGTGACAGCCACAGCCACCCATTCTCTAGGAGAGTATTTTGTCAGCCCCTAGATGTGTGCTGCTAAATTAGGTAACTGCCACTCCAGGCTGATGCTGTCAGATAAGCAAATAAGCCTCTTACAGAAAGACTGGAAGTCTGGGTACTTTTGATGAATGACTGCCTCTGGCATGCTTAGGCCCTGGGTTGATAAACTCACATGCATGCATGAGCCCTTGGACAACTATTTCTCAGTTTCAGCCTTGTGGCCTTGTGGA